GGAGGAGCACCCCGCCCACAACGGCAGGCCCCTCAGCCGGCCCCGTGGTACGTCGGCCAAAACCCATGGACCGGCGTTGTCCACGCCTACTCCATGCCGGTTCCTCGGGCCCCTGCTCCGGGCCTTCTCGGCACTCGGCCTCCGTCACACCAGGCGTACTACGCCGCGCCGCAGCCCTATGCGGCGCCCTACGGTCAGCAGCCGCCGCCAGGTGGGCCGTCGCTGCTGCCCCTGACGGCTGCGCCGCCTCTCCCGCCGGCACCGTGGGACCCGGCCGTTCTGGCGGCTCTCCACAACGCTCCTTCCCCGTCCAGCTACACCGGCGGCGGACAGTGGCGCGACCGCTCACATGGCGGCGTACCTCGGTAACCTCCACACTGCCCATCCTGTCCACACCTCCAACCGCATCACCGTCGGTGACGGTTCTTCTCTTCCCATCACCCATATTGGACATACATATTTTCCGTCTAACTCCACTCCTATATCCATGTCTAATATTCTCGTTTCTCCTGAACTTATTAAAAATCTTGTTTCTGTTCATTCTCTTACACGTGAAAATCCGGTTACTGTTGAATTTGACGAATGTGGTTTTTCTGTTAAGGACGCTCGCACGCGGATGGTGCTCCACCGATGTGACAGCCCCGACGAGCTCTACCCGGTTCACTCCGCCACCTCCACCACTTCCGCCGCCCCTGTCGCTCTTGCCACCGGAGTGGATCTTTGGCACGCTCGCTTGGGTCATCCTAATCCTGCCACACTTCGCCACATACTTCGGAGTTTTTCTTTCACGTGTAATAAGAACGAGGATCACTCGTGTCGTGCATGTCGCCTCGGCAAACATGCTCGTCTTCCGTTTAGGCCTTCTTCCTTTGTTGCATCGTACCCGTTTGAGTTAATTCATAGTGATGTTTGGACATCTCCTGTTGCAAGTAATACGGGCTTTCTTTATTATCTTGTCATACTTGACGATTTTTCGCATTATGTGTGGACCTTCCCGTTGCGCCGCAAGTCGGATGTTATATTCACTCTCGCCGCTTTCTATTCTTATGTTCTCACGCAGTTTGGTCGACCCATTCTTGCCTTGCAGACAGGCAACGGGAAGGAGTTTGACAACATCGCTGTTCGTAATCTTCTCGCCACACATGGCACGATTTTTCGTCTCACTTGCCCGTACACCTCGCAGCAGAACGGTCGTGCTGAGCGCATCCTTCGCACTCTAAATGACTGTGTTAGGACTCTTCTCTTTCATGCCAATGTGCCTCCGCGCTTTTGGCCTGACGCTCTAGCCACCGCTTCTCTCCTCATCGACATCTGCCCATGTCGTACTCGCGGGAACTTTACACCTCACCATCTTCTCTTTGGTGCACCTCCTTCTTATGAAGGGCTTCGCATCTTCGGCTGCCTTTGCTATCATAGCATCGCCGCCACTGCGCCTCATAAACTTGCACCCCGCTCCGTCGCCTGCATCTTTCTCGGCTACCCACCTAACACTAAGGGCTACCGCTGCTATGATCCTGTCTCCCATTGTGTTTTCACCTCCCGACACGTTTACTTTGATGAGATGGTGTTTCCGTTTCAGCAGCAGGTACCCCTTGTCGTCTTGTCGCCGCCGGCCACCGGCGGCCCTTCGACGACCTCGTCAGGTGGATGATCCCGTCTGGCCCGTGGACCGC